CCATGTTAATTAGTAGAGGTGATGAACATTACCACTGAAATCTACCCGATGACTTTATAGACATACACAGGTGCCAAGGATCCAAGTGCGACCAATTATGACTAACAATAATCAGATACATACAGATTAGAGATGCATGCGCCAACATCTCAATGTTAGTAGCAAAAACAATGAGTCTTTCTGTAAGAAGCAGTATATTCTAAAATGAAATGGAGATCTTTTTTAAAGGTTAAAAACTCATTCAATTTTATGTCTTACAGGGCTTATGCTGAGTTCAGTATTGTATAACTGTATTAATTCAACTGTGAACCTAGAAACTTACAGCTGCTGTGAAAGAGATGTATCCTTGCTCTGGAGTGTGTTATTGAATATGTTAAAGCTGTAATGAAATGCTTCTTCTAATCATGTAGCTATTAAAAAAATTTAAAATAATCTACTCAAAATGGATCAAATATTTTAATGTAAAACCTTAATCCTTACTAGAGGAAAACACTAAAGAGACACTTCAAGGTATGGAATAGGGGTGGTGACTTCCTGGGTAGGACGCCAAAAGCAAAGGAAACAGAAGATTTGGCAAATGAGATTGCACAGACCAAAGAAGTTTCTGCTCAGCAAAGGTAAAATCAACAGTCAAGAGAAAGCTTAGAGAGGGGAAAAATTATTTACTAGCTATCTGTCTGTCAGAGGGTTAGTATCCAGAATAAAATAAGAATAGAAAGGCAAAAATCCCTAACCAAATTCAGTCCCGAGTTCAATCCCCATTTCCACACAGTGCAAACCACTGAGTCCCATGAGTTGCTGTAACAACTGTCCTCTGACTTCACAGACACACCTTGGCACGCATGTGCAGAGAAGGGTGGGGACACAGGGAGAGAAAGACACAGTCAGACAGAAACAAAGAAAGACGGGCAGAGACAAAGACATAGAGACAGAGCAAGCCAGAAACAGAAAACTAAAAACAGAATCAGCACATGATGCACTGATCTCACTTCACTCCTGGCTGCATATCCAAAGGAAACGCAGTTGACATATAACGCACTCACTACCTGCATACCCATGTTTACAGCAGTGCTCATTCACAACAACCAAGATGAACAATCAGCCTAGGCGCAGAGCTACAAGATAAAGATGAAGGATTTGCAGCAAAATGGATGAAGTGGACTGTGTTGAGCAAACTAAACCAGAAGAAAGACAAGTATTGCACGTTCCCTCTTATGTGGGAACTTTAAAAAAAAAAGAGGGAAGTCTGCTGAAAACAGAATAATGATTTCCAGGGACGTGGAAGGGTACTGGTGAGCAGACAGAGAGGAAGCAGAAGAGTGGAAGGGCACCCACAGTGCACACTGTGCATACGTATGGAAGTGTCAAATGAACCATTAGTATGTGTAATTCATAGGTTTTTGAAACAAAATAAAATTTTCCAGGCATGGTGGACCACACCTGCAGCCACAGCACTGAGAAGCAATGGTGGGAGGATTGCTGCATGTTTGAGGCCAGCCTGGTCTACGTAGAGAAGCCTAAGTCAGCGAGGGCTACATAAGAGACTCTATCTCAAAAAGCCAAGAAATACAATAAAATAAAACTAGATGAAACTTAATTAAATTTGTATGCCACCATACATTCAAGAAGCTTCAGACTTTAAGTTCAGCAAGGTGTCTCAGCAGGTAAAGGTGTTTGCCAACAAGCCTGACAACCTGAGTTCAATCCCAAGGACCCACAATAAAGAAGGAGAGAACTAACTCCCACAAGTTACCCACTGACCTACACACGCAGCGGAATGCATGCACACCCCCACATACACATAAACACTTAAATGTAATAAAAACTCTCAGACTTTAGTTTTTTCAGATCTTAGATTTTCAGATTAAGGATGCTCAACCTGTAGCTAAAATCATTTCGCAAAAATTATATAAAATGCACATCTTTAATCCTAGTACATAACTGTAACCTCAGACTCAAGAGGCTGTGGCAGGAGGATTGAGAGCTTAAGACCAGCCTAGGCTATGTACTGAAACCCTGTCACAAAAGCCAAAAATAAATAAATAATGTGAGATAAGATTATCTGTTTAAAATAGGAATACACTTTTATGAATAGTCATTGTCAGACTCAGCGTGTGTGTGTGTGTGTGTGTGTGTGTGTGTGTGTGTGTGTGCGTACCTGTAACAACAATAATCAAAGAAGAGGCCAAGAAACTGAGAGGGAGTGGGGGGACATGGAAGGAGCTGTGGGGGACTGAAAGGGATAGAAGGAACGCAAAGGCAATGCTCATGTAAGAAGTTCTCAAAAATTAAAACGCCTTGGAAAAAGGAACCGCCACTGTCCGTCATCAACACCAAGGACCAACCCTCCTGACAGTTGTCTACAAGACAGGAAAGCGCCTTACATCCGCCTCTCCTCCTCCTCCTTCCTCCGACGGTGCTCGTCCTCTTCACGTCTCTGTCTCTCTTTCTCCATCTCTTCCTGAATACGCCTCAGCCTCTCTGCCTCCTCTTCTTGCTGTTTCTTTTTCTGCAGTGCACTGAGGAGGTCCTCTGAGCTTTTAACGAGTGCATCGTACTCTTTCCGTATCTGTTCCCTTGTCATCATAGTGGACTAGAAAAACAGAGCAGTGAGGACATACTTACAAAGTTATCTCTCCTGCACCGAATGGATGTGCTTAACACTATGAACTATGCACTTAAAATTGGCCTCAATGATAAATTCAATGTCACCTGGTTTTCCACAATTTAAAATCTACTCCAATACACATAGAGCAGCGAAATCTGGGAAAATGGGTCAATAAACCCATTATCTTTGTTGTACTGTTTGTATATTTAAAAATATTCACATTTTTGAGACAGGGTTTCATGTAGCCCAGAATAACCTTGAACTAGTTCTATAGCTGAGGCTGGTCTTGAACTCTTGATCTGCCTCTCAAATGCTGGGATTGTAAGTGTGTACTACCATACCCAGCTAGTCACTTATTTTTTAAAAACTATCTCAGTACATAAATATTTGACTCTATTTTCTATCAAACAAGCCATCAATAGCTGTAATGCACTGTGATCAAAGTAATATAAATGTAGCTAAAACTTCTTTTTAAGGAATGATTACCTCATTTAGCCAAAGTTTGCTCTCTTTAATAATAATATTTAATTAGTACCTAAGGAATATTTAGGAAAATAATATATGCATCTAAAATTGTTTGATAACTTTTCTAAGTTAGCCTTCAAGAAACTACAGCTGGGTTAATTTTGATGGATAACAATACTTCATAAACCAGTCTTGCTCTTGACAGACTTATAAAATCAGCTAAATCTATCCATAGAATTTTCATTCTTCCCTTGATCATTTTTCCTTTTCTACCTGTAAAATTTCCTGCAAGCTACTGAAATTATTATTTTAAAAAGGCTTATTTTAGCTGGGTATTGTGACACACACCTTTAATCCCAGCACTCAGGAGGCAGAGGCCAGCAGATCTCTGTGAATTCAAGGCCAGCCTGGTCTACATAGTGAGTTCCAGGTCACCTAGTGCTACAGGGAGACCCTGTCTCAAAATAGATCAAATATAAAAAAATAAAAATAAATAAAAAGGCTTACTTTAGGGTACTTACTACATTCACATCATTACACTGACCTATGAAAACTAGCTGAAGAAAACTGTAAAACTCTAACATATAATTGAGGAAAAGAAATAAAAAGATGAAATTATGACTAACAAACACATAGAAAATGTTTTCAATCCCACTAGTAATTAAGAAAGTAAAAATAAAAAAAGTCACCCTATTTTTTTCCTAGGAAATTAATTGCTACTTTTATAACAGCTAAGCAAATTATGTTACAGCCTCTGTGAGGGTAATGTATTAACTACAACAAATCACATAATAATGTAAGAGCACAGAAACAAATTGAAATGCATAACTATTGCTGAGAACCATGTAAAAATGTTTGCAAACACAGTCAGATTACAATGTGAGTACACAGAAGCATAACAGTTGACTATCTTTGTGTAGGGCTATTAAAGGGGTTTGGAGTGATTTTCTTCAAATTTTTAACAATGATATATCATTTTATAATTTAGCAGTTGAGTTTCTGGGGGCGGCTGAGGATGCAGCTTAGAACAAAGCACCTGTCTGGCAGATTCTAGACACTATGTTCAATCCCCAAGGGCACCAGAAAAAACAAAAAATACACTAGAACAAAAATTTGCTTTACAGCATAAAACAAAGTAACTTGCGTTGCTCCTCTCTGAATCATGACTACAAAGCTTACAAACAGAATTCAGTGCTTTAATTTCAGTTACTCTTTGGAGGGTAAATATATGTCTTAATAATAGATAATATAAAAACTCTTTCTGCTATGAAATTTCAAATGTAGAGAAAAGACTAATGAGTACATTTTGTTGGCATTTTGTGTCTTGAATAAGGACATTTTTCATACAATTTCAATGCCAATAACAAAAACCAGCAAATACATAAAAGTCAAAGTAAGTTGGATTAAAAGTGCATACCTTAATTTTGGCCATCAAAGCATCAATAGAAATTTCAAGATCTTTGATCTGTCTGTTCACCTCTGGCTTCCCATCCTTCAGAACACTTACTACTTCATTAAACTTGTCAAGTCGTTTCTTCAGCGTGCCCACCTTAACCAGGCCATCAATGCTGCAGAGGTCACATTTCATCAGAGAGGAACAGCACAGCTTAACGTTTTAGGTAGACTTCTCATTGACAGACAGGAAATACATAATGCTAAAAAGGCTAGCTCACCTCTGTTGTCGCTAATACTCAGATTATTGTTATCAGTACTATTGTTATTATTATTATTGTTCAAATTTTTTGTTAAGTGTAAAAAGAATCAAAGAAGGATGCGCTGGTGACTATCACAAGGGTTGAGGCTGTGTATATTTTGACTGAAAAATGAGAATTCAAATTATAGAACTCAAATGATCTAACAATCTGTTGAAAAGGTATGACATCAAGTTATTCAAACCTCCTCCAAGTTTAAAAGTCTAAATTAGTAATAGAAATTTTAAAGAAAATGTGAAAACTCAATATTACAGTCAACTAGTAAAACGTGATTTTATGGAAAATCTTGAAAATTATGGTCAGGACACGACTGAGATGTTTTTTTAAAAGCAGAATCTACTTCAGAGCATCAGGAAGCTCAAATCACTACAGTAACTGAAAGAACAGTGCTTCTCCAAGACACCACATCAACCTTTCACAGTGCCTGTGTTTCATAAGCCATCCCAAACCCCTCTGTAGAGCCAAGACAAGTAGTAAAGGAGTTAGTTCCAGATAAGCAGTACAAATAACAGGCTAAGATACCATTTTACATAGAACGAGACCCCAACACTTTCTCCCTGACTTCATTCCATTTTACGGGACTTGGGTTTTGTAAGGTTCTCAGACACTTCATCTTACCGTGGTTTGTGTCTCCTTTTGCAAAGCCACATTCGAATGGTTTTCTGCATTTTAATGCAAGCTTCAGCTCGATATTTTATTTTGTTTTTCACTGTGTTGTAAGAGTGAAATAGAAAGACAAAAAAATATGGTTTAAATTGGACATACTTTAAAAACCCATTCATTGCCATAAAACAATTCTCAAGAAATGAAATCTTGATGACTAGGAAGTTTAGCATTTCTTTAAGTTCTTAAAATAAAAATGCATATCATTTATGTGGCCAGACTTACTCCTTAAACGTACTCTGCACTATGCAACACTACTGTCAACACAACTGTTTTGGGCCACATTTGCACTATTTTTTCCTTTAAAAAAGACTTAACCTGTCAAGTGAGTTTAGGAAACACACCCTTTGCCTTGCTTTGGAAATTCAGTGAATACAGCGGGTGAGATCTCTCTGAGAATCCTGTACACGCCCAGAACTTTCTAGAGTGATCTGACCTTCAGTTTTTTTTTAAAGTTTCCTTATAAACATTTTGCAAAACTTTTTCTGATAATGGCCTCAGTGTGTTTGTATGACACAGTCCACAAATGGATGGTATAGCATAGACCATTTTAATAATGTGTACATTCCTAAAAAGTATGCTGTATATGGAGCTAAAAACATTGAACTTGTAAAAAACTTGTATTTCACTTGGAAAAAAGAGGTTCTCTTATCTTTTTTCTTTATCCTAGTTTTCTTTTCTCTATAGGCACTACTGTCTAACAAAAGATCTCAACAATAGTCTGCAAAGTTTCTTTTTGTTAGAGCAAGTGGATTTTACTTTCCTGTTAATAAAGACTTACTTACTGAATCCTTCCTCTGCACACAGCACTATTCAGGTACTCTGGTGAGTGTGGGGGAGGGGCAGTGATAAATTTATTCAGGTACTGATTTCCACATAGCTCCCAACAATCTTTCACCATAGACCCTCAAGTAACCCAAGGCATTCTGCTCTCACTCATGTTTTGGATCACAAATAAGTAGCTCCTACCACCTGACAGAAATACACACAAATGGCTTGGTCCAGTGTGTCAGAGAGCAGAGTCCAAGAACAGAGGAGCAGAAGAGATGGTAACAAGCTGCAACCCCATCCCACATGGTCCTGAAGGGCAGTGGACTTGGACTGCCTTCTACTGAAGGAGGGCCATGAAAGCTTTTTGGTTTAGAAAGTTAATGGGAGGCCCGGTGAACCATTTTGAAAGCCAAGCAAGTTTTAATGTAAGTGGCAGAAAAGGCTTCACTAAGGTACTGGCAATGAGAAATAAAGAATTATAATATTTGCAGGAGAAATTCATGCAACTTGACAAATGACAAGATTTCATGACTAAGAAAGGAGAGACGATGGCTGTGGTTACAGCATGCCTAGCCTGTGGAGGCCCTGAGCTCAGTGGGCAGCAGTTCAAGTATGGGGGGGGGGCAGCGGGGAGAGAGCCAATATATTAGAGATATGCAGGCAGAGAGAGAAAAGTTCTGGTTAAAATCTGAGAAGATGGTAGGGGTCAAGGAAAGAAAGGAGAGTGAATTCTGGGTTGCTAGGGCACGAGGACACTGATACTCTCATAGCATATCTCAGACTTGACAGTAAATGTTATCAGACCTCCAAACAATAAAAACAGAAAGTCTACAAAGGCAAGCTATAGACAGCACCAGCCAAAGTTGGCCAGCAGCACCTCTGAGACAGCTTTGAAACCTTCCTCAGACCATCTCACTTCCAAAGTAACAAAAAATCTTGGTGTGAAACAAAACATATTTGGGGGAGAAGTTTGGTTTTTGTTGTTGAGACGGAGTCTCACTATGTTGCCCAGGCTGGCCATGAACTCTTGATCTTCCTGCCTCAGCTCCCCAAGTGCTGGGGTTAAAAGAATGTATCTCCACATACAGGAGAAAACACTTACGTTTGATGACAGAGAGTGAACACCACTGAACTTTCTTCCAACGACTACAGACTAGCCAATGATTGACTCTTTTAACCAACTCTGCTAAATGATCAGGATCAGACTTCATAATCTGGTCAAATTCTGCAAACTAGGAGATAAAACAACATCAGTATTAAAAGGTAAATATGCTCAAACACAGGAAAAATTACAGTAAACGGAATTCAAATTTAACTTTCTACAAACAGTTAAAAGTCAACTGCAGGGACATCTTAGCAGGGTGTATAACAAACTCAAGATGTCTGGTCGTGCTTCATGGCCCTTCTAGTCTGTCTTCCCTTCAAGGATTTTTTTTTGGAGGATAGAAAGATTGCATATTGCAAGGCAGCAGAGTCTATTTTTAAAAAATGGAAAAAAACTCTTAAATGACTAAGTACAAAGGATTGGCAAAAAAATATTTGAGGAAAAATACAGAAAAGGACATATATATCCATGTCAATTCACCCACATTCTCAGATGTGGCTCTGGAAAAATGTGAAGGCAGCTACGTAATAGAGGTTCACCAGAATCATTTTGCTTCTCCCACAGCACCCCACACATATACACTTTAGACAAGAAACTGCTACTACAAGAGAAACAATACAAATAAAATGTCTATTTGGGTACAAATAAATGAATGTATTACTTCTTCTCTTTACCACCACATTTCAAATGATTTCTATGCTGTACAAATACCACACTGCAACACGAAAGGTATCATATGCCAACCAACAGAATGGCTTTTTATAATCAAAATTAAAGGCAGCATAAGATTATATTCAATCACTTTAGGCTTTCAACATATCTTTTTTCTGGAAGTAAATAAGACCAAGTTCTTTCTCTATGTAGCAATTAATTAATTAATTAATCAAGTTAATTAATTACTACAGCTCTGAGATGGGAGAAACGTTGAGTTTATGAAACATACCTATGAGCAAAGCTAAACCAGCTACCGACACTGGTAACGGTAGAGGTTCTGTGATGATGTAGGTACGGAAGTACCTACACTACTGGTGTAAATATACATTTCATCTGCTGCTCAGGAATGTGAGATCAGACTTACTGTAAGCAATTTATCCTTTAGACACTAGAAATATTTGACTAGAGTGACTAGTTAAATATAATATACAGCGCTTCATTCTAAAGTTTGGCAGTAGTCAGTACAAACTCCAGTCAATTTCTTATGCTTTATACATCTAGCACACCCTAGTAAAACTTTTTCTTACAATGAAGACTTCAAAGTACTGACTCATCAGGCAAGGTGGCACCTGCCTATAATCCCAAGAATCTTGGAGTTACATAGAGAGATCCTGTCTCAAAAAACTAAAAGCTAACAAAGTACTAGGAAATCTCAAATCACTGAAGGCTAAATTAATACATTTTTACTCTATTTTATTCTATTTAATGTGCACGCACACACACACACACACACACACACACACGCATCATGGTACAGATGTGGAAGTGAGAGGGTAATATGCGGGAATCCGCTCTCTCCTTCTACCATGTGGGTCTTGGGGATCAATTCAGGTTGTCAGGCTTGGTGGCAGGTGCCTTTACTCCCTGAGGCATCTCACTGGCCCATTACTTATTTTTAAAAAGCTTTCAACTTGTTAAAAATGTTAGTAATTTTTGGTTAACAATCATTTAAGAAAAACATTCAACAATGCTGATTCCAATACTGAATAAAACTAAAAGTTAAACTTAAGAGTATGAAATATTGCAAACTTCCCGCAAACAGAAAAAATGTATGTAAACATGTATCTTCAGGCTGTTATTAGCCATGTAATATAGTATGTAATGCAAATACTAACCCCAACTACCATATGCTAAAGTTTAAAGTAAATATAGATTTACCTTGCCAGGTCTAAAAAATACTTTTGTTAATCCAAACTTGTAGTCAATTTCATTTAAGCCCAAAGCTTTAAAAAGAGCCTGAAAAACAAGTTTAAAAGTTACAGTCCAAATGGAAATGAACAGGAAAGCTGTATTGCTGGCAAAGTTCACAAGCAGCACTGATACCTTACAAAACAGCCTGGGATCCAACCTCGCAAGTTTGTCTGGCATATACTTTTTGTACATGTTGTAAAGTTCGTGAAATGAAGCTCGTGAAGGGAAGCCACCTTGCATTAAGTCCAAAACAGACACCATACCTAGAATCATAAACACAAATAACTGCCAATCACATTTAGAAGTCCAGGATAACTCGAGATGGCCCAACAAATTTACCAAAGGTTTATCAAGGGGGCAATTTACAGGGATTATCAGCAATGAAATATTACAGAGGAAATACACTTCTAGCCAGTGTCCCAAATTACCCATCATCTGAAGGTAGGGGCAGTGGAATTCCATGTGAAATCAGCATGGCTAACCATTTCCTAGAGGTAAACCTTTGTCTCTAGGAAGTTCCATTCTAATTTCTCTTTTTAAAAATCAACATTATAATCAAGAAAACATAAGTAAGTCTAGCAGTTTACCACCCTATTCCTGAGGTTAATTTTAGAACAAGATTTCTGAAAACCTCCCAAAGGTAAATACATTTCCAAGTTTTCCCAGGAGTTTACATAAAGCAAAAGAAAAGAGAATTTGTTCTCTGCTATAAAGAGCCCTTCCAGTGGGCTAGGAATGCAGCTCTGTGGTAGAGCACTTGCCTTGCATGCCCAAGGCCTATCCTCAGTTTGAAAAAAAAAAAAAAAAAAAGACCTTTTCCACTAATCTCTCAAACAACGTAATCTATTGTTTGGAAAGTTGAGTCTGTAGTATAAGCATATATCATCAATTTAATAAGTGGTCAATCTGAGTCTTGACAACATGAGCTTTTCAGGTCAAGATTAACAGACAGCACAATCTGGAAGTTAAAAAAGAAGAAACCTGCTTTCTCTCACCTTTCACCACTTTGTACTGATGTTCACTAATCAGAAGAGAGTTGCTTTAGTAGAGAGTATCTTAAATTAAAGGCACACTCCTTTAATCCCAGCACTTGGGAGGCAGGAGCAGGTGGCTCTCTGTGAATTCTAAGCCAGCTGGGGCTACAGCAGGGAGACCATGTCTCAAAAAGACCAAAAAAAAAAAAATAGAATCTACATCTTAGAATAGCCCAACAGCTAACGATAACACCAAGACTTCTGTTCACAATCAGACTTGGATTTCAGTTACTGAGACCACTCAAATCAATTCCTTTACTTCATTCTTGATACCAAAATAAATTCCAGCTGTTCAAAAATGTAAATAAAAAAATAGAACTACAATAATTTTTTAGATAAGTAAATTTTCAGTTTAAAATAATCTCCTAGCAGGGCTGGAAAGATTACTCAGTGTTAAGAGCACTGGCTGCTCTTGCAGAGGACTTGGGTTCAGTTCCAAACACCCACAAGGCAGCTAACAACCACTGGTAACCTCCAGTTCCAAAGGCTCTGATAGCCTCTTCTAGCCTCTGTGGGCATTGTGTGCATGCAGTGTACATACATACATGCAGGAAAAACTCTCATACACACAAAAGTAAATACATTTTTTAAAAATTTTAAAAAATCTCTGGGGCTGAAGAGATGGCTCAGCAGTTGAGAGCATTGACTTCTCTTGCAGAGGACCCAGGTTCGATTCCCAGCACCCACATGGTGACTACAAACCGTGCTTAACTCCAGTTCCAGGGGAATCTGAAGCCCTCTTCTGACCTCCGCGGCACTGCACGACACGGGTGCACTCACATTCATGCAAGCTATACACTCATACACATAAAATAAAAATATTTTTTTTTTTTTGTAATTTAAAAAATCTCCTAGGAAATACTACAACCTTTTTAGATAGTGACACTGAACACTGACCAACGTGACTGGCTAAAGCATGAAAACACCAGTGTTCAACGTGAGAGCAAGCCAAGCTACAGTGCTGGATGGCAATTTGGAAACAACTTTTTGCCTAATTTCTACTTTTATGAATTTAAATGATAATTTTCCCATTTATGGTCAAAGACACTAAGAAATCTGCCAATATCCACTGAGTCACTGCTTGAAACAGAAAAAAAGAAAAGATCTATCCATTCAATAATGAACGAGTCTAACACATCAGGAAAGCAGGGACTCTTGAGAAACCCAAAACAGAGTCCTGGAGGAGGGAACTTTTCAATAATTACACAGTGAAGAAACAGCATACCTAGAAGGTGGTGTGGGTGAGGATGGGATCTCTGTGTGTTAAGGTGGAAATGAGGGCTCAACACCACAGCCACCATGGGACACTCATGGGAGGTTCACCAGGGAAAGGGAACTCCTGTTTGAGCAGGAGGGAGGGTATGCGGATAGGCAGCACTTGGCAGGATACAGGAGAAGCTCTGAGGCCTGGGTAAGGAGGAGAGGCCATCTGTTGGCAGAGGCTGGGAGCTAGCAAGAGAAGAGGTAAGTCTGACCAGCTCTTGAGAGAAAAGGAAATGTGCTGACCAGGGAAACTAGGCAGGAAGAGTCTGAGAGTCCTGAAAGGTCAGTGACTGTGAATTTAAATGATGCCAGCCTGGCTGGCCTACCAGCCCTCAACAGACAAGGAGAAAGGGCCGAATTAGATTCATAACAGCTACGGTTTTATGAGAGGCATCAGGAAGGGATGCAGCTGTCAGGAAAACTGAAGCTTACATCATCTGGGGAGGCTGATTATACAAAGTAAGTGCAGGGCTTTGAGAATTTATTTAAAGAGACCTTAGCCTCACTGTAAATACGCTGCTGGGAGGAGCAGAGTTTGGAGAAAGGGCAAGGGTCTGGACAGGACTAGAAGGCAGGTGCAGCTGGGAAGCCTGGGCAGGAGGCCTTCTGTCACTCAGTGAGACCATACACACAGGGGTGGAACTGGAAACAACAGATTAATCAAATGCATGAAAGTGCCACAGAGCCCCCAAGGGCTTCATCCAACTGTGGAGGAGAAGCAAGGACAGCAAAGTCCTCCTCACCCAGTTGTGTGGGAATGAGAAATGAGCTGCTGGGGACTGGGGAGGTAAGAAGGCAGCCTGTGGTGGGGAGAGTCAGGTCTGCCTCTAACGTTCTTATAAATCTTACCTCTGTGACATAAAACAGCTTTTCTTCACAAGAAACTAACTCAATACTGCTCCAATATTTTGCCATTCATGCTTGTCTTGTAATTAAAAGAAACAGAATCTCACTGGACTGAAGATGAGGAGGGTAGTGGTTAGCTGTCTGAGAACGCCGGCCACATCAAACGGCACTTCAGCTATGATGACCCACAACAGCAACAGATTATGAAAATATGGAAATACCTGAGCACTGAAGTTGAGACAGGATTTGGGCACCTTCAAAGTGGTGGCTTGTCATCTTTAAGTTAGGCTTGATGCAACGAATAAAGCTTGCTCCCTAAGAGGAGAGAGTACTTTTTGAGATAACCATACAGCATTCTTATCTTTTTATTTCTGTGAAGACCAGCAGCTTTCAAAGCGTATTAGCATTAATAAATGGAGCTTGCAAAATAATCACAAAGAAACTTAAAAATTTATTTTCATATTATAATCTGAACTTTGAAGTAGGTTTTGATATTACAAAGATTACATTTTAATTTTGAAGGCCAAAATATTATATCATATTTAAACAATATATTTTCAGTTATCACAGCATAAGAAATTTAATTCCACATTCATATGGAGGGTTTGGGCTTTTATTTTTTCAGTGCCAGGCCTTGCACACACAGGTGCTAACTCTGAGCTAGATCCTCAGCCTCTAACGAGGCTGGGAAGGGAACTAAAAATAATGGTCTTTAAAATTTAAGCCAAAATGTAAACAACACACACTTGCAAAACAATATTTTTGTTCTACTTCAAAAATATACAGGTCCCTAACTGTACCACTATGCATTTTTTAAGTTTTGTTTGTTAAGAATATTTTTTAAAACTTAATTCATCGACTTGGTGATCAGATTTTATTGACTAAGGCAAAAAGAACACAGCCTGAGCCAGAAGGAGCTGCGGTGTGCGGAAGCGGGTACAGCAGATACCACACGGCTGCTGCTCTTCCAAGCGGCCACGGAACAGACTCAACAGCTAGCTCAACAGTGACACTGGCTACAGAATCACGAAAGTCACCTCATCATTAGAGCAACACACTATTTGAGAGACAAAAATAGAATACCCTCCTCATCAGACTTGACTTTCAAAGATGCTTGGCTCACAGGAAGGAGTGAGGGGTAAATATGATCAAAATATGTTGTATGCATGCATGAAATTCTTGAAGAATAAAAATCATATTTTAAAAGATGTTTTGCTCTTAAGAAACAAATTCTAGAGATGCCAAAAGCAAATCAAACAGTAAGTTAAAGAGTAACAGCACTCACAGGATAAAATCTTGGCTTCTGAAAGTGAGTACTGCTTTAACAGCAAGAGGACTCAGCTGAACTCTGTGGTTTATATAAAAAATAAGCTCTCCTTGGAACCTTGATTCTTTTCTATAACCCACATACTGAATTTCTCTTTTCTTGTTTTTATTTTTAAAGACATGGTCTCATTAGATAGCCCAGGCTGCCCTCAAGCTCATGATCCTCTTGCCTCAGCTTCCCAGGCGCTGGGATTGCAGGTATGTGCCACCACACTCAGCAATCAGGATTTTCTTTCTCTATGGGTTTCTTCCTTCAGTCAAAACAACAAGGTGAAGCTGTGTGTGATGAATCGCACCTGTCATCCCCAGCACACAGGGGCAATAACAGGATCATGAGTGCAAGGCCAGCCTGAGCTACATAGCAAGATCAAGGCTGGCCTGAGCAACATAAAGAAATGCTGTCTGAAATAAACAGGAGCAAGACATATAGAGCATTTTGCTAGCATGTGCAAGGCCCCAGGTTCAGTCCCAACACCACCATAAAACAACTAGAAAAAGAAGAAAAACCCCCCAGGATCAATCAATAAAATGTATAGTTAAAAAACAAACTCCTAGTAAATTTTGCATTTATAAAAGGAGAAAAATATTACAACCATTTCTGTCTGGGTCTGCCCTATCAGGAGAACACTACGAGAATAGCAATAAAATGAAATGAAATCATATGCATTATCTCTAATCCAAAACTAGAATATTTTTTCTTCAAATTACTAATTGTTTTCAGTTTTGTGAAAGTATAAGGCAATCTTAATTTATTGACATCAAAGAGTTTCATTTATTTAGAAACTAATTTCACTTTACATATACATATTTGACCTTTCTTGAGAACAAAGCCAACCAAAATAATAACCATTTTAAAAATTAATTCTAGGGTTGGCAAGATGGCTCAGCAGGTAAAAACACCTATCACCAAGCCTGACAACCTGAGTTTGATCCCCAAGGTCCACATAGTGGAAGGAGTGAACCAACTCCTACAAGTTGTCCTCTGCCCCTCTCATGTACTCCATAGCACATGTGCATATACACACGCAAAACAAATAAATACATACAATTTAAATTTTTTACTTAAATAAAACTAAAATGTTACTGTACTATGGACCACATGCTTGAGAGGTAACACTCTACCACTGAGCTAAATTCTCAGCCCTCTAGAAACTGACTTCTTTTCAAAAGGGAATTTGTTTTAACCATGCCAGCCTGGTCTACATAGTGAGCTCCAGGACAGCTGGGGCTACAGGGAGACCCTGTCTCAAAAAGACCAAAAAAGAAAAAAAAAACTTCTAATCATTCAGGATTACTGTGTTTACTTGGATAACCACTAATAATAGTTTCAACAGACCATTTTTAAAAATCTATTTTTAAGTGTACTCACAGTACTTCGAAGTTTATCCAGAAGCAAATTTAACTGTGTCTACAAAAGAAAGGAAATCAACTTACTTCAGAAAGTCAAAATAAAATAATGACGTGAAAAGTGTTAACTCCCATTATTAAAATAAAATACCATGTGATAGCATCCACATGCAATGCACTGCACTATAACAACCTCCTGATACACGAAGTCTGCAACGAGCAGCATCATGCAAAATGGCTAATGGAAAGCCAAGGGCGGTAACTTAATCGACACAGAACTTGTATAGTCAAAAAACTGTAAATTAGGAATACATTTGCAAATAGGATGAATAAGGAGAAGCACACAGGCAGTGAAGGGAGCAAATGAGGATGCTGGATGCAGCAATGTGAGGTCTACAGCAAGGATCTGAGGATGTGGCAAACAAGGCACAGAGGGGCACATGCTAGTAAGACGCGATGTTAAATGGACACTGTTGGTATACCCCAGGACTGTCCACTACCACAGCATACACAAAACTGTCTTGTCTGGCTTCAAATTTTCTTCACTATTTTAAAATGCCTCACATGTCAAATGTTTTTAAAATCTGGACAATTTTCTCAAAAATTTTGACAATGGATGCTATGGTACCTGTCTTTCCTATTTTTTCAGTACTGACTATAATTAACCCTGGTTCACTATGCTTAAATCATTTGTTTGTGTTACTACTCGCAAAATAATTTTATGCTGAAATGTTCATTATACTACTTGGAAAACACAAATTAAGATGTTAATTCTTAAATGAACATATTGTATTAATCGTAGCTATAGTTAATAGTAACATGTAGACTTTGCTGAATGCTTTCCTGTGAGGCATTGCTCAAAGCTTTCCATGAGTACTGTTAAATTTAATTCAATTGCAGATAAAGCTGAATGAACGTAATTAAAGATGTATTATTAGCATCATACAGATATTAAAATCTAGGGAGAGTAATTGTCTAGGATCACAGAGCCAGTACCAGCAAAGCCCTGGGTCCGGCACAGGCCTGACACAAAATCTCACTCTAACTGTATAACTAATGCAAACCTCACACATTATAAACTTGATATTAAAATGAAATGAATTTGTCATGGGATAAAAAAAAAAAAACAGTAGTATCCCACACATAAATTAGTTGACAGAATTCAACAAACTTAGTCAGGCTGAACCCATACAACTAAAAAGTAAGTCAGGAGCCTCTATGGAAAAAAGCAACAGTACAAACCCACTCTCCACAACTCACAGACTAAGCATGGTGTTCTGCCCCCAAATGGAAATAAAGTCAGAAGAGTAAAAGCAAAAAATTAAGTAAACTAGTAACAGTTGAGAAAATAGACAAGACAGTCCATTAACAAAGAACCGAAGCCAAGGACCATGACACACAAAGGGAAACAGACTTCAAGTTATCTTTTACTTTACAGGACACAAATAGGGGCTGGAGAGATGGCTCAGTTAAGAGCACTGGTGCTCTTTCAAAAGACTCAGGTTCAGTTCCCAGAACCACATAAGGTTCACAACCATCTGTAAGTCCATTCCGAGGGATCTGATGCCCTCTTCTGGCCTCTGTGGGCAGCAAGCATGCATGTGGTACACATACATAATATGCAGGTACTCACATAACACATATCAAAAATTTTAAAATTAAGACACAAACATTCATGTTTATAATAGAATAAGATACCCATCCAAAAAATTTACTTTTTCTAAAACACTAACAATAAATGATCATGTTTTAATGGCTTTAAAATTTCATTTGGTGGCCAAGCATGGTGGCACACACTTTTGATCCCAAAGGCAGGCGTATCTCTGAGAGATTGAGGCCCGTCTGATCTACATAGGAAGTTCCTGGCCAGCTGGGACTACATGGAGACCCTGTCTCAAAAACACAAAAACAGGGGCTGGAAAACAGTTCAGTGATTAAGAGCACTGGCTGCTTTTGCAAAGGACCTGGGTTTGAATCCCAGCACCCACATGGTGGCTAACAACCATCTATAACTCCAGTTCCAGGGGATCTAAAGTCCACTTCTGTCCTTCACAGGCAGTGAAGCAATTACATACATGCAGACATAACATTCATACATATAAAATAAAATAAAAATAAATAAAACAAGGCAGGTTTGGTGGAACACACCTGTAATCCCAGCATTCAGGAGGTGGAGGCAGGCAGATCTCTGTGAGTTCAAGGCCAGCCTGGTCTACATAGCAAGCTCCAGGTCAGTTGGGGCTACAGGGAGACCCCGTCTCAAAATGGCCAAAAATAAATAAATTAATTAAATTAAATAAAACAAAAACAAAACATTTCATTTGATAGAAAACTTTTGGTCCCCATGATGTTGGGTAACTGAAGTGTTACTATAAATGAATCTGTTTAATGTTTACTTCCTTACACAGTTCAAACTTGATGAGCAACTGAAGTATACTTAAAATTAAGAATCGCCATTAAGATTTCATATTGAAGTATCTCAGAGAAAAATATATGCGAAATATTTCACTTCTATCATTCAGTTAGAGTTTTCAGCAATCAATGCAAAAAATGCATATTGCTACATACAAAGAATTAGAAGGGATCTCAAGGCTCCCCATGAAAGACTACTTAATATTGTCTAAAATTTATATGGTCTGAAATTTCAAATACTTTCTACTAGCAATATTACTGTAAGACTGCAGTAAAAAACTAATGAGTGATATTCATTTCATATGAGCTAATGTGTTTTCTTTTCTGAGACAAAAACAGCCATTATTGTGGCTCTGACTGCCTAGGCTCAAGTGATCCTCTGGCCTCAGGGACCTCAGGGGCCATGCAATCACATGTAGCCAATGTGCTATTTTCAAAGCAATCTGTTATCAAATATCTAATCAGGAATGAAAAAATATTCAAATAAAAATTACTGCCCCCTGAGCATATCAGAGCTCATAATTAACATGTCTGAAAACAAAATTCAAGGCTTGTATTAGCTACCTAAAAATGCTTTATGTGTTTTCTCCTATATTTATGTTTAAGCTTTAAAAAAAAATTAGCTTTTAGGGCCACACGTGGTGGTACATACCTTTAGTCCCAGGACTTGGGAGGCAGAGGCAGGCAGATCTCTGTGAGTTTAAGGCCAGCCTGGTTTCCATATTGAGTTCCAGGCCAGCTGGCACTACAGGGAGACCCTGTCTCAAAATAAATAAATAAATAAATAAATAAAATAAAACAAAATAAGACAAAAAAAATAATAATCTTTTAGAAATATGACTTAATCAAATTAGATATTTAGGGCCCACTTCTTTTCTTTTTGAAAAATTTTGGTTTTAGGGGTTTTTTGGTCCCTGTAGCCTCCTGAGTGCTGGGATTAAAGGCAGGTGTCACCACGCCAGACTTTGTATTTGTTTTTTGAGACAGGGTCTCACATAGCCCAGGCTAAGCTTGAACTAGGTACCTAAGGCTGACCTTGAACTCCTGCTCCTCCCACCTTAATGTCCCCAGTTCTGGGACTGTAGATGTGTGCCATCATGCCCAGCTAAGGGCCCATTTCAATCCAAAAGGGAGTTGAAAAGGTTTTTATTACTAGTTAGTACCAGTTCTCTTTACATAAATATGGTTCTTAATGATATCATTTTTGATACTTAAAAGTACATTTCAAAAGGCAAATACAGAATTTTACTGGAAATATAATACTTTGTGAAAACGTAGAGGGGAATTATGTTTTTATCCTGTGTATTGTAGTTCTTTGCTCTGTAAAGGTTTTTAAATCCTTCTATAGTTAAATATGCAATAATTATACATTAGTAGCATTCCATTTCTAAAACATCCTTATCAGATTTCAAAGAATCAACTCCTGATCCAAAATGAGTAAAATAAATTATCATTTAATAAGCAAATTGAAGACTTTGCTACATGTAAGAGTTTTTTTAACAGAGGTTATGAAAAGCTTTACTCAAATTGCAGTATAACATGCATGCCCATAAAGCCATGAGAGAAAGCACATTAAAAATGAAGTACAAACAGAGCCAGTAATTTGAGACGGGCTCTTTAACAGGTAGCCACACTGTGAACAGGAGTCCATGAAAGCGATCATTTACCTGAAGGGCCTGGCTGTGCCTGCTTTTCCTCTCTCAACTCAACTAGTCCTCTCTAGCCAGCCCGAGCTGAACTACTCCATCTAAAACAGAACTGCTGAATGAGGAAGGAAACAGAAAATATGTGGGAAAGAGAAGGCTGAAAGGTCAACCGGACAGTATGCAGAAGGAGAGCATCAGGAGAAGCGATCAGATATGGTCTGTACCAGGAAAGAACGCACTCCAAAAAGAGAAGCCTTTCTGTAGACTCGATGATAGGGCTACTTAGACCTCACAACATCATAGGGTCTTCTCCTGAGGCCACTTGTGGCAGTTCACACTGGGATATGCATTATCCACTTGACAATATAAAACAACATGACATTTTAATTACAGCAAAAATTTTCAATTAATTTGTTTAGCACAAATACCTTAAACTTGTTTCCCACGCTGATGAAGCTAAGTTTTCCCGCTTTCTGTTTAGTATCTTTGTTGTTATTTGTGGATGATTCAAATAATGCCCGTATAAACTTATCCCTGGATTCACATATCAAGGATTCAAGAGACATATGTAAGGCATCATTATTTTTCTCCACAAACTGGGTCTGAAAATCAAATCAAAGAGAATGTTTCAGTCTATGCTGATAAATATCCCCTAATTCATTTCAGTCCTAAAAGAACTTTCTGTGCTATAGAAATGTTTTGTGTATCCACAGTCCAGCACAGCAGCCAATGCAATGGTAACTAGTTTACCCAGGCACTGAATTTTTAGCATCATTTAATTTAAGAGTCAGCTAGAGGCTGCTGCACTGTACAATGCAGACCAGCCTCAGCTAGTTTTCTCCTTACAAACTGGGAACTCACTGTTTCATAGCACACTGCCCCAGCGAAGTGCCTGATAATGAAGCCTTCATCATCTCTCAGGTTCCTGTGAACTGCCAGCTTAGATTTCCTGGGAATCTGGAAAAAGTATATACATACCTTACTACAATATCAAAAACAGATGATATTCCTTTAGACAACATTGCAAATATAAAGTACCTAAAAATTACAAGGGCATCTTCATAATTTTTACTGCTTTTAAACATCTAGTAGGCCTAGTGAAACATTTGATTATAGAGCCTCAGTGAAACACATAGGTGTAAGAATAAAATACGCACACGCACGCATACATAAACACTAACTTTATTTGAAAGCAAAGGCAAACATAACTGACTTTTTTAAGTGAACCACCTATCTCTAAAGCAGTGCTTCTCAATCTTCATGCTTATTAGAATCACACAGGGGTCTGTGAACACCCCTCAGCCATGGTGTTCATATCGGGTAAGTCCCGTGTGCAGTCAAGGAAGAACACCCACAGCCAGCACAGCGACACTTGCAGTGTCTTCAAGCCACCACCCTAACACTTTACTAGTGAGCCTGAAATCATTTCAAGGCAACACCATTTTAGGATGGTACCATTTCATTACAGTACCTTGTGCTTGAATTTTTCAGTTTCCAAAATACTTTTCACATATGAGATCACATCTGACCCTCAAAATAACCTAAGGTGAAGAAAGATCATCTCATTTAAAAATGAGCAGACTAAGACTTGGACCCATATGCTGAAGCTCTTAGAACACATGGGCTCTTCTCATGCAAGGCCATAGCCCAAGAGCCAGACTGAGGGCTCTGCTGCCAAACCACCTCACCTACCTCCTGACCCACCACTTCCTCCATTCAGGCACATCACTCACCTCTCCCATTTGTCTTCCCACCTACAGCAGGAGGATACTAATAGGATTAAATAAAGTAATTCAAGAAAAGCATTCAGACAACACCAAGTAGTCCAGGAATGGTGACTATATTTAGTTCCAAAGAATTACAACACAATCAATGGCCTATGTACATTGGGATCTACTGCTTTGCTGCTTCTTGTGAAAAGCAGCCAGACCTCATTCCTGATGCTTCAGTTTGCTGTCTATACGTTACATGCTTCTGAGAGCATGGCCACAATCTGTGGCCTAGTAATCAGTACTCTTGGTAAAGGTTACCATGCATCTAGAGGCTGTCTTAGGAAATACTAGTGAGCCAGGAACAAGCAAGACTAGATACAGACCTTTAATTTTAGGCAAGAGTTTTGTTGAGGATATGTATTTGTTTGTTTTTATTTCCACTGAAGTATTAAAAACAAGTTCCAAATTATAAGAAATATTCGGGGTCTATAAGAACTACAGTCAGGGTCTAGAGAAATGGCTCGGTGGTTAAGAGCACTGGTTGCTCTTACATTGGACCTGGGTTTGGTTCCCAGCACCTACATGTCAGCTAACAACCATCCATAACTCCAGTTCCAGGGGATCTAACACCTTCCTCTGACCTCCACAGACCGCACAACGTGAGTGCACTTACATGCATGCAGCCAAAACACTTATACACATAAAACAAACAAACAAACAAGTAAATAAAAATTTTTAAAAGAACTACAGTCAGTGGAGCAAGTGGTTCTGTGACTCCAAACACTAAAGGCTGGCAGACCACATCAGTTACTCAAGTAAATCCACTGAATCCACTTCCATTGACTTCTTATCAATTCTGTAAAAACTGGATCTTAAATTTTCCTTACCTTCTTTTTTAACACAATAATGGGGTCTCTAGTAACATTTGTTGAATGTCTGTGCTATGATTTTTGTGAATAATGAACAGAAATTAAAATATGTATCACCATTCACTTGGGCTCCTGGACCCAGCAAGGCAATGGCTGTGATGCTGTTTCACAACTTCAAAGTGTCCACAATAAGGCAGGCATTTGCCTCCTGCTACTCTTCATCCACTAAGCATCTCTAAAGCACTTCTCTTTGTCTCTCTCTGTCCTATCTAAAGGTGGTGGGAGAGCACTGTCATTATCTAGTAGATGGGGCAGCACCTTTCTTTGTGATGGAAACTGACATCCACATTTCTGTGTTGATAAGGCTCTTTCTGGACCCAGGTGAAGCTATACTTTTATCATCTCGGGTCAAAAGACAAGCACCAAATGAAGGGAACACAGGAAACGACACTGGCTCACAGAGAGCAGCTCTGCTCTCACTGCCACAAGCACGCCGCTCCCAGCAGCCTCCTGAGCCTGGGCTTCGGTTTTGGTGGAGCTGCACCCTCATTTACTCCTGGGCTCTCCTTGTCTCTTTTCCCTTTATGCCACCTGATCTGTCTATTGATTCGGAGTCCACTTTACATTCAGAACTCTAGCAAAGAGACCAAAATGAATTGCTGATCACTAGGAGACACATGAAGCAAGTAGGTAAGTCTCTCTGTACAATCTTAGGTAGATGAAATAAAATGCATTTTTCATACAGAGGAAAGACTCATTTTTTTTTAAACAGGGTTTCACTCTGTAGCCCAGGCTGGCTTCAAATGCATAGCAATTCTCTTGCCTAACCCTTTCTCCTTTCCAAGAGCTAGAATTACAGGCATGAGCAACCTTAATGTTCTCAGTTATATAAAACTTTATTATCAGATATGTATGTTTACATACACACAAATAATTTTATGCCCACCAACAGAGATGTTGTACTGGTTACAATCCACTCGCTCAAAGTCTTACATAACATGACTCTAGCTGTCTAGTAATATCTGATACCTAGTATACCTGTTTCTTTATAAAGACTTCTTCCCAACAGAAGCTCAGTTTTAGAATGGCAAACTCACAGTGAGTCGGAAATGTTCTTTGTGCTTCTGGTGAACGGCAGATGTGAAGTGCTGGTCACTTGGCTGCGGAAGGCGATTTTCTTCATCTAAAATATCCAGTATTCCCACTAATTTAACTTCAATCAAATCTAGTTCAAAATACCAAAACAATTATGGTGATGAAACAATAGAGAATATTACTGATCAGTTTCAAGTAGTTGTAAACATATTCTATCAAAGGCTATCTAGAAGAGGTTGAATTTTGTTTCAAATATGACCATTTCTGAAAAGGTGGCATCATAAACATAGAATAGGTTTTGGGAAGACAACTTCATAAAGAGAGTGACTAATTAATAAGCCTTCAGTGTGTGAACTAGGGTAACAGGCTAAGGAGTCAGAAAGTCCACCTTTTCCAGATGACATCTATATCTAAAATCAAATAAGACCAACAAGGTCTTGTGTACAGTCTCTCAATACTACTTCAGAAGCTGGTTTTAAAAATTTTCAAGCACATCTTTGCAGTGATGGCGTATCTTTACACTCCTTTCCTTCGTGTTTGAATTTTCTGCCTGACCTGAGCCGCTTAAATCTAATACTTAAAAAATGTTGAATAGGAGAGCATTCTAGAGCACAGAGAGAGAAATCAAGATTCTCATTGCATTAATCAGAAAATAGCACTTCTTTGAAAATTAGTGAAGGAAGAAGAGGTGAAACAGGCTGAACTAAGCTGTAAATGAAAATATTCTGGTAGGTGCTGAATGAGGAGGGGGTGGGAAAAAGGATCAACGGAAGGGGAGGAGTCCCAGCCACATTAACAAACCACATAGTCAAAGGCACATAGGTAAGAAAAGAGGGTGTTGGAGGAATCCTGAGTGGACCAGGGAGAATATGAAAGTTCTTTGAAAAGTTATATTAATGTCAAGTACTATTGTCATTACACTGTGTTGTCAAAGACTAGTACATGAGTTCCTGACTGGACTGTCAAATTAGGTTTTCAACACCAGGCTTACCCAACACTTGACTTTAGAGATCAGGTAGGAAAGGAAAAAAAGGGCAGAGAGCTGGCTGGAAGGCTACAGGATAAGGCTTCTTCACTGTTAAATCAAAGAGAGAGAAACAGAAACTCTGTTCTCCTGCTACACAGAAATATCTAGAGTTGACATGTGGAGCTTCTAAAGCCAACTTCAACCACTGAGACGTACAGTGAATGAAGAGGAAGAACAGAGCTAAGGGGCCCTCGACAAACCTCCTAGCAATGGACTTCATCGTGTGAAATGGCAAAGTCATCTGCTCCTAGAGCAATGGAGCTTCCCTCCCTGGTTCACACAATAGTTTTGTAAGTAGTAAAATATGTATCACAATAAGTAGAAGAGATTTTGGAAAAACTTTCAAACAAGCTGAAAGTGTTGTCTTGCCAGGAAAATTAACTTCCAAGCATCACTAAAGAAGCATATGTCTCTCAACCAACTGCCGTTTCAAATCCTGTAACTAGTAATATAAAATTTCCAGTAAATGTATTCACTGTATCTTCCTGTGTTTCCCAAAGGTAAAACAACAAATCCATACCTATACAGTCCTGATTATCCACATAAGGCACTTCATTAACGCCCAAGCCCTCTTTCTGATAGAGTTCTTGTTCCTATAAATGAAATAATCATCAATATGGAAATACTGTGTAACATAAAAAGGAGCCAATGTTTTATGCCATTCCTACACAACATTTACTGGTTAAAATGTAAAGGTTTATACCAACTGGCAGAAACATTGAATGGTTTTCTGAAAACAACATATTTTGAACAACTGTAGTTCAAAATCAGGAAAGCAACAAAATCAGGAAAATAGCAACGAAGTGCAAATGGACACAGGGACTACACAGCAATCTAATACATGTAATTTGGAAGAATAATATATAAATAAAAATTGGTTCTCTAGATAGACAGTATCTAAAAATTATTTTTAAAGTTTTCCATCAGATGGATAACCTATACAACGGGCTTAAATAATGTGTTCCAACATTTTCTTCCTTAATGTTTACATATTTCTTCCCATAAGATACGCTAGGAAAGTCGCACATTCTACAAGGCACAGTCCACTTGGACCCAATCTGAATTTGAAATTCACATTTATACTTAAAGGACTGTAATAAAAGCAAACGCAAATCAAGACCATGTGCACTCTTTTACACAGCTCCTATTTCCACATACAACTTACTGTTGGGTAGGTATGAAAGGGTAGGAGTAAAGTATGTTTACTGAGAAGCACACATGTATAATTTTACAGTAATGAAATAACTAATTACGGTGGATAAATCATTGTCAGATAAACTATCTTACTGAGAAGTACTTTTTTTTTTCTTTTTGTAATGTTTTATTTTTGGTTTTGTGCATGGGTTTGTGCATGTGATTGTAGTGCCCATGGATGTCAGAAGAGGGCATCAGGTCCCCAGGAGTTAGAGTTACAGGCGATTGTGAGCAGCCCATTGTGGATTCTAGGAACCAAACCTGGGTCCTCTGGAAAATCAATACATGTTCTTTACTGCTAAGCCATCTCTCCAGCCCCCCAGAAGAAAAATTTTATATTTCAGCTCATCTACAGCAGAGGACAGAACTCAGAAAATAGCATAAAGTATAATAGTATAAAGTATAAAGAAATAATATAAAGTACAGGCTTGAGCCAGCAGTTGGGAAAGAAGATCTGAGCTTGCAGAAGTTACAGAATGCCCTGGGAATTTCTTTCTTCTTCATATGTAAAATGAAGGGCTGGACTGGATGAGCCCTCAGATCCCTTTACTTCTAATATCCTCAGTCAGTAAAACCTATCTCAGATGGAAGGAAAGTCAAGGATATTGGTACAAAATATTGGAGAATTCAGGTCTAAGGAAAAAATAACAAGCCTAATCATAAATCAACTGATCTAAACTTACTCTTGCTTATACTGCTCTGTAAAGACTTATAAGACTCTTAGTCTTGGCATTCTGAGTGTCAGCCATGCCCAGATGCATTTACTGCCAACAGAGGCAGAAGTTACTTCCTAGAAATGATAGCCAGCCAAAGACTGGACTTTCAAAAGCAGCTAGCAGTCCACAAGATGGCACAGTGTGGAGTGTGCTACCCAGGGGCACTCCAGGCTGGTGACTGCTTCAACTCTCCTGACTGGTGGCTTTGTTGCTGCCCGGGGCGGGGGCAGAGCAAGCAGAAGCAGACACTGAGAAGAGAGGCCAAGGTCAGGGTGAGAAGAGAAAGCTGCCGTAACAGTGAAGACAATCAGTATCAAGGGGACAACCATAGGCTAGTGAGAAATTACACATGTTCACTTTTGTGAAGGTGTCTATTAGCTCTTAAGGATCCCAAACTTCAGCTGATACATGCTGGGCCTCCCCATCCCCTGGCCACCTCCCACTTCATTTTATACCCCATCAGAGTAATTGCCACATGATTTTCTTCCTTGAAATTTAAAAAGTTTGATGAAGATCTTAGTTTAAATGATAATGTTAGTTACCTCCTTCAGAATCCTTTCATTGAAAAACTGTTGGAGCTTTTCATTGCAATAGTTGATACAAAATTGTTCAAAGCTGTTATGCTCGAAGTACTCTGAAAACATAAAACCAGGGCAGTCACTGATACCCCATAAGTTTATCTGAGGATAAAATGTTATTGTGTCAGTGGTTCAATTTAAAGTTAGGATTATAAAATACGTAAAATTTTTCTGTATTGTCCAAATGTACTTAAGACAAATCAATAAAATGTAAGTATAGGTCTCCCTGTAACCCTAGCTGGCCTGGAACTCTTTATGTAGACCAGGCTGGCCTCCATTTCACAGGGATTTCCCCCCTACCTCTGCCTCCCAAGTACTGGGATTAGAAGTGTAGACCACTGCACCCACCTTTTTTTTGATGTAAGCTATCATTAAGATAAAATTTTAGGCACAGGTACTAAAGCAATCTAAAGCACAAAAATGACTTAAAGTGCATGTGATTTAGAAGTTGCTTTTTCTGCTTCATTTGTTAACAAAAGTACTACAGATAGTGATTCATTCCAAAGTTAAGGCATTGTATTGTATAATGTCTAACATTCATAAGGCTCTACAATATTAAATTCTGGACATGACTATGTCATGCTAAAAAGCTGGTGCAAACCAGGAAACAAATGTCTAAAGATTGTGGAATCTTCTCACTGATAGGAGTTTTATCTGCTTTTGAACAACAGGTAATAATTTATTTAAAAATTTTAAAGTATCATATTAAAAGCAAAAATGTGACCCTGTAAGAGTACAAAGCTCATACCCTCCCTTGGCAAAGGCAAATGACTCACAGAGGAGAAACACAGCACTCTCTCCACCCAGAGGGAACAGCACCGCACACATAACCCAATATAAAACCAGCAGGTTTACTCTAAGGCTTCTGCAGTACAGTCACTCAGAACTCAGCAGTACTCAGAAGCTCGTGGTCCATCTGATTTCCGATGGAACAGTTCCAGGTGTTCACAGTTACGTGTCTTGATAGCTTATCTAGTTATGTGGTAGGAAATGAACTGCAAGTAGCTATTTTTTAGCAATGAGCACTAACACTGTGTTTTTATACTTAGTAATGAGGCTGGCCTACAGTTCAGTCACCATATACCCAGCTCAACATGTTCATCAATGGTCTTAGTGACTTTATTATCTTTGTTATATTTGGTGATGTTGCATCCTTAGCAATAGCATACAAGTGTTTACCTTTATTTCAGGTGCACTCATTTAAGAATATGAGACCTCTTAACTACAGTAGTTTAAATGGACATCTTAATTTTACCACTAATCAGATTACTCTGCAAGCTACATAATGAAATGCAGACATGAACCTACAACTGAAAATCTATCCAGTGAAAGGCATTACAGAGGAGAAAAGGTTTGTGATGTCACCTTGGCTTTCAACCTGACTGGGTTGTGACGTGCCTAGAAGAGTATTAAAGTATTAAAGCATGTCAGTGGAAATATTCATGAAGATATTTCCAAAGAGCATTAACCATGGCAGCAAACCCCACTCTGAATGTGGATGGGACCATCTCAGAGGCTGGGGGACCAGTGGAGAAGAAGAAAGCCAGCAAATGCTGGCACTCTCTGTGACTTCCTAACTGCCATGATGTGAGCTGTCCACCTCCACCAGGATGGACCAAAAACTCTCAAGCCTTGAGCCAAAGTGAATACCACCTCCTTGAAGCTCTTTCTCTCAGACATTAGATTACGGTAATGAGGAAAGCTAACGCAGGGTTTAAAAAAGATAAAACCACACATTTTCATATATGTAGAAATAATAAGCAAGTATAAATTAACAAAAGATTCTTACCAAAACCAGCAATATCTAGGACTCCAATAAAATACGATGACGTTTCAAAAGGAAAACACTGATTGACTCTGTTTACCACATGATCGAAAAGATGGCTATAGACCGTCTTCGCCAGAGCATCCCGCGCATTGTTTGCCTGCTCTACTTTCAGGGGGACTCTACAAAAAAAGAAAAGCTATTCTGATGAAAATTCTTTATAGAAACACGTTTTGAAAATAATGCTAGACACAAAAAATCGCACTGTATCTGAACACGGGCTGTGAAGAACAAGTCCCAAGAGTCATATGTGAACAGGCAGAGATACAACTAAGGAGAAAAGACAGGACACAAACTAAAAGAATTATCCAAAATGAGATTAAAATATACTATTGGGTTAAGAAAATTGGCTTGAGATATCATTTAAACCTTAATTTACACCTCACTTTACATGCTAAATTTATTTAAATTATTTAGAAAAAATAATCCCTTTTTTTAAGTTTTATTAAGTGTGAAACAAATTTTGTTTAATTCGGAGTAACTTTAAAGTTTGGTGACTTAAATAAGTTACTTTATTTAGAAAAAACACTGACATCTTAAAAGTTTGAACTTTCATGCCAGGCATGGTGGAGCACATCTTCAGTAATAGTACTTGAGAGGCAGAGGCAGGTGGATCTCCAAGAGATTGAGGCCAGCCTGATCTACATAGGAGTTCAGGACTACAGAGAGACCTGTCTCAAAAAAAAAGAAATTGAACTTTCCAGCTCCAGTACAAAGTAACCACACAGGACAACAAAGGTATTAAATGCAGATACATATATAAGCCATTTTCCTCAAGTAAATTAGTGTCTAGTAAAAAGAAAAACTGTCAAGAAGAAGAATTTCCAAACACCATGCTAAATCCTTTCTTTTGCTACAACTATCACTTGTTACTTATTCTCCAGCAAGGACAGCCAAGGAGGGTGGTGGGACCTAGGCTCACCAGAGCAGCCTATTCAGACCTCTTATATGCATTCTTCTCTAAAGGTGGATCCAGGGCCCAAAAGGCTAAACCTGAGGTGGGGGGCAGAGAAGAAAAGAAAAGAAAAGAAAAAAGAAAAGAGAAGAGAAGAGAAGAGAAGAGAAGAGAAAAGAAAAGAAAAGAAAAGAAAAGAAAAGAAAAGAAAAGAAAAGAAAAGAAAAGAAAAGAAAAGAGATGTACTGGGCACTATGGGAACACAAAAACACATTTTTTAGTAACTTTAAAATCCATTAAAGTAAAGCCCGGTGTGGTGGCACACACTTTTGATCCCAGCACTCAAGAGGCAGAGGCACTCGGATCTTTGTGAGTTCAAGGCTAGCCTGGTCTACAGGGAGACCTTATCTCAAAAAGACCAGGATCCAGAAGGCTGAGGCAGGAGGAATGTGATCTTGAGGCCAGCCATAGCTGTACATCCAGACTGGACCCATTCAAAAAAAGTTAATTCCATACAAAAAAAAATTTTTTTTAAACCATACAAAAAACATTTTAGAGAACTGTTTTCAAACAGTGCAGAAGTGGGCAACATGAGGAAAAGAGGAGGCAGAACCAGAGGACTACACACTTTTATGGCTCCTTCCCTGGAAGCCCCTGAGATATCCGCAAGAAAGCAAGCAACTGAAGAGCACTGTTCCATTAACTTCTTGCCAAGCTTTTCTTTATAATAAGACTAATTTAAAATTAGCTTAACAATTTATCAGCCTAGGGCCAGTAAGATGGCTCAGTGGGTAAAGGCATTTGCTGCCAAGCCTCATGACCCGAGTTCAATTCCTGGGACCCACATGGTGGAAAGAAAGAAATTCCCACAAGTTGTCCTCTGACCTGCACACGTAGGCCACGGCATGTATACACACACACACACAAAAAAAAAAGAAAAATGAAAGCAAAATATTAAGCATACCTGGCTAATATTTCCCTCAGAGTAAGACATAGTAGATTTTGTTCATAACTACCAGCTTTTTTTCAATCCTCTTTACAAGGTATAGTACATGTACTTTCAGTCTCACCTACTCAGGGAACTGAGGCAAAGGATCACCTGACCCAGCTTAGGCAACAGAGCAAGGCTGAGTCTCTGAAAACATAAAATAAGCCGGGTGTGGTGGCGCATGCCTTTAGTCCCAGCACTCAGGACCTTTAGTCCCAGCACTCAGGAGACAGAGGCAGGCAGATCTCTGAGAGTTCAAGGCCAGCCTGGTCTACATAGTGAGTTCCAGGCCAGCTGGGGCT